AATGATCACCCCTAGAGGTCTTCTTATAATTAACCTTAAATTATGGTAATCCTACACTTGTGGCAATGGAGATACTCCTAGCCAAACTAGGATTCATCCTTCTAAACACTTTATTATTTATATCATTCCGAATTTGCCAGCAATTCAGAAGAGTTTTACTTTTACTAAGATCACTCAAATCATTGCACTCAGCAGTGTCAATCAATTCCATCCATTCCAAAATATTATTAAACTAAGTCAAATTATTCTTCCAAGAACTCACCAGAGAAAGGTTCCACATTTTTTTAGCATGCTCGCACTTAAGAAATAAGTGATTTTAAGTCTCATCATCATTGCCACCCATAGGGCATGGTTTTTCCATATTCTGAATAAACTTTACTCAATCACATCTTAGTATGAAGTTTTTCATGAATAAGAAGACAAAGTAAAAAAAAATTTTACCTTGGGAGGAATTGCTAACTTCCATATCTTCTTAAGGAGTTTAGGATTCTAACTTTTTGGTTATTATTGCTCTAAATCCTAGCTGTTGACTTACTTGAGATTTCAACAGTAGAGGAATGATCCACACGAAGTAATCACTTTTATTTTGAAGGGGAATAGGCACCATAACAATTTTTTCTTACAATATCCAAGTTCAATACTCGAGAGAGTCAACCTCTATCCCAACTCTTATTATTCAATAAACTCACTAGCTCGCTTCTTCCAATTTATGTTCTATTGTTGATTTATAGGAATCAGCTGAAAAAGTGGATACGGAAAAACCTAATGATGGATCCAAAAAAGGATATCTTTTTTTATTACCCATGATCGATCTAATTCCCCTGTGAATAAAATGTCTACTATTTAAAATTTATTTCCAGGCCAAAGAGTGATTCTGCTTAACTTTGCAACTCAAAAAATCATCTTCCTTTAAGTACTTTATTTTATTTATTTTAACAACCTGCACCACCAATTTTCGTCTTTTAAAACTTTCCATCCTAACTTAGCCAGACATGCATTATTGAAATGATCCACTTTTCTAATACCCAGCCTTTTGATCCTTAGAAATACACTCTTTTTTTCAAGCCATAGGTTTTAACTTTCTATCTCTCCTAGAAGAAGTCGCTACCCTCTTTGTTTAAATTCTCAGTTACACAAATGGGACATTTAAAGTAAGACATACTATAATCCAGTATACCAATTAAGTTGGACATAATGAAAGTTAACCTTCCTGCCTTAGAGAGAGTATTAGCCTTCCACCCACCAAGCTTTTGCTTAACTATTTTGATTAATTCACATTCATTCGTTGGATCTTTCCAAAACACAATATTATGAATGTCCAAATATTTAGCGATGGTTGTTTTATGTTGAATATGTAAAACATTCACAATATCATTTCTAGCTTGAGTGTTAGTATTGCCTGAGAAATAAAGCGAAGATTTATGAAAATTTACATGTTGACCGGAAGCCTTGGCAAACATATTTAGAACCTGAAAAATTGAAAATCATTCCTAGCACCCTTTGTAGTTGCCTTAGCAAATAACAACCATCTGCAAACAGTACCCTTTGTGTTTAATTTAATTAATTATGTTATGTTACTTGGTCAATTATGGTGATTAATATGCAGGGCGATCTTTATGACCATGAGAGTTTGGTGAAAGCGATCAAACAGGGATACGTTGTGATATCGACAGTGGGTTTCCTGCAAACTGCAGACCAAACCAAGATCATTGCAGCCATCAAAGAAGCTGGCAATGTCAAGGTTAGTGTCTCTAATAAACTAGATAATCTTCATTCAAGCTGTCTGATCAAATGACATGTTTCACTATCTAATATCAATATGATACTTATCATGTTGAAATATCATACATCGATCGTATCTATGAAAAAAGAAAGTTTAAATGTCCTAACCCTACTCCAACTAATACCGAGTTATTTTGTGATAAAAACTCATTCCTAACAGATTGTGTATGTGATAATTACCAAGTTGGGGAAAATATCATGTTATTGAAAGTGAACCTTTGGCCAGTCTCTCTAATAATTCTACATACCATCCATATCTCGTCTTTATTATTGATACTATCACTATTTAGATCCCACAGATTTTGATAGTGTCGATAAGAACGTTAGTGAAAATTTACATGAAAATTAACTAAAGATTTAGAATTATCAGACAGTCCAACAAGTTTTGCTGAGGATTAATAATAACTAAGCCTATATTTTATGCAGAGATTTTTCCCGACGGAGTTTGCAAACGATGTGGATCGATTGCACGCAGTTGAGCCAGCCAAGTCTACGTTTGACGTCAAGGTCCAAATCCGGCGTGCTATTGAGGCTGAGGGTATCCCCTACACTTATGTCTCCAGCAACTGCTTTGCTGTCTACTTTCTGCCCTCATTGTCACAGCCAGGTGCCACTTCTCCACCCAGAGACAAAGTCATCGTCGTAGGGGATGGAAACAAAAAAGGTACCACTTACGTTAATTTCAGTAGAAAGCAATTATGTTCATAAACAATATTAGTAATTAATTTAGTTTCTGCAAAAGGCACCTGGAAGTTGTTCTTGAAGAAGTACTTGTTAGGTGCCTCTTTAGACACTACTAAAAATGGTTTTACGATCCGAAGGTATTTTACGTGTTTTATATTAAATAGTTCTATAAACGCTTTTAGTTGTCTGCAACCGCTTTGAGCCATTTCTGAAGCAGTCTCAAACATGCTCCGTATCTTTTGTTAATGTTGCAGCTGTCTTTAACAAGGAAGATGACATTGGAACCTATACAATCAGGGCCGTTGATGATCCAAGAACATTGAACAAGATCCTCTACCTGAGACCTCCCCAGGACATCTACTCATTCAATCAGCTTGTTGCCCTGTGGGAGAAAAAGATTGACAAAGTCCTTGAAAAAGTCTATGTCCCATAGGACAAAGTTCTCAAGGGTATTGAAGGTCAGTAATTAATCATGCATTTTTTTTATACAAACGATAGAAAGGAAGGAATTCAAACTCGGGATGTGGAGTACATGAGCGAATGCTGTTAATCAACCGTGCTATAAGCCTCCTGCATTACTTAATCGTGCATTTTCAACTTAACTGTAATCATGATTTGGTTAACTAACATTTGTTGTTTAATTTTGCGGAGGCCCCAATTCCAATCAATGTGATATTAGCAATCAACCACTCAGTGTATGTGAAGGGAGATAAGACCAACTTCGAAATCGAGCCGTCGTTTGGAGTCGAGGCTTATCAGCTCTACCCTGATGTTAAGTACACAACTGTGGACGAGTACCTCGACCAATTTGTTTGAAGAAATTAAGATCAGAGGACTTCTGCTAAGATGTTTGCTAAATATCTCAGAAAAAATAATTTGAATGTTGTTAATTGTTTGAGTGGAAGAGTGTTTGTGATGAGAACAAAATTTAGAGAGGTAAAACACTTTTGAGATTTTCCGAGTATGTCGTAGCTTTTGTAACTAAAGGGCTGTTGGAATAAACTGGCACTAGAGGGGTACAAAATAGTGAGATTTTGGGGGTTAAACTGGGAGATTCTGCCATATAACCGTTATGATATGTTAGACATATTTCTATACAGGTTCTTTATGTGAAGGGATCCTCATTTTTTTTAAATGGGGATTAGGTGTGGGGTACACACTACATCGAACTTTCACGATTTGAACCGTCTATTTTGTAAGTCTCAATTCATAGATTATCCTTATAAAAATTTAATTCAATCTGAACTTATTTGCCTATTTAATTATCAAAATAAAATTTCATTGTTTCTTATGTAACAAAGTATTCGTTAATTTCTTTGAACTCAATTAGATGTCTTAAACATTTCCAATATGGCTAATATTTTGCAAGGATGATCTATGAGGTGAAACTTGAAAAATAGAGGGTTTGAATCGTTAAAGTTTGATGTGGTGTGGACCCTACAACTAATCTCCATCTTTATAAAAAAAAACGTGGGAATCCCTTCCCTTCATATTTCTATATATCCTCTGATGCATCCAAAATCTCTCGCTAGGCTAACCATCTTGAACTCATGACTTATGTTGATGCAGAAAACCGAATTGATCTTGGATCGATGTAAGGTGTCAAGTTATGACATTCGCAAGGTTGTTTCGGTGGCCAAGTGTAAATAATATGTAAGGAGATAGTGTCTAAAGGTCATGTGTTAACGACGCTCGGTGGCATATTGACACACGAAAGCAAGCATTTGCACAGACGACCCACAATCACAAGAACAAAGTCTCTCCCCTCTCATATATATATATGCATAAGGGATCTCCAATTTATTCAAAAAATGGAGATTAGTTGTGACTACACATCGAATTTCAACGATTCGAACCGTCTATTCATCTCCTCCTCCCAACTTATGCAAAACTCTAGTTGGAGAAAACTCTCCTTTGGGAGCTGCATTTGCATCTATTTCATAGGGAGGCAAATTGTCTGCCCTCCTGTTTGGGTGTCTTTCCCATCCCCTCCTATTTTGTGCGGTCATGGTTAAGCCACGTCAACATTTTATATTAATTTTTTTATAGAGATAATAAGACAAAAAGCACTAAGAATATAAAATATTAACGTAGCTTAACCGTGACCGCACAAATAGAAGAGGATGGGAAGGGCACCCAAACAGGAGGGTAGACAATCTACCTCCATTTCATAGATGGCTAGAGAACAACTTAGCCTTTGCATTTTTCTTTGATTTGAAGCCTCACACTGGACTAACCATCTTAATGTGGTTCAAATTCACTTTTAGCGAAAATCGAATCTAAGGCTTCTCACTTAAAGTGGAGAAAATTATCATTAGACCATAATATCAAATGACGCCTTTTAATAATTTTAAATTAAACAAAAGTCAGTTGTGGTCACATTTATATTATTACACCATCGATCCTTACATTACAAGCCAGTTTAAATTTGGTCCTCAGCAAATTATGAGTTGAACCTTGTCGTGCTTGCTTAGGAGACAACCCGTACGACAATGTCTCCTTTAACTTTATGTAACTTTATGTAACTTTATTTATTGACAAGAAAACTTCCATTATTCAATGTCTTCGCTCACATATGATGTTCCCTCAGCTTATGCTTTTCCTTACTTTTCGGTACAACTAACATCAGGAAAAACGACCAACTAGCTCTTAATCTAGGGTTCCATTCCCCCTCGACGTTTAGAAAACAAAATAAACATACATTTTACAGGAAAACCAGTGCAGTTCTCTTCCTTGTATTGACATGTCACACTTACATTTTTCTTCCGAAGATGATCAGAGAGGCTCGTACCGAAAAGTGCGAGCTTTGTCTTTGAAGTAGCTTTTATGCACGAAGAACAATCTAACCTAAAATCCTATAAGAATCCGACTCTGACTCCGACTTAATTTAACTTGAACTTAGTATTGTTGATCACAAATTTCAATGACTCTATAAAGACCTTTACAATACTGGTTTCTCCATGCTTCAAACCTGGTTTTAGTTCCGAAACTGGAGCTTGCGCCAGTGATGGTGATGCTGTAGGGGCTGCTGTAGTTGGCAGAACTTGTGGTTGACGTTGTGATTCATATCCTACGATTCCAATCAGTCTTCTTCCCTTGGTTCCTTCAATTTCCTCACCTGCCAAACACAAAGCAAAATAGATTACAACAATTTCAAAGTACGAAGAAATCCGAGGGTACAATAAAATGTTCATAACTCAGTCTTCTTACCATTTGAATCCAAGTACGGTTTGGAAGTCTCTGAAAGAAAAACAAGTGTGGGGGTGATGACAGTAAGAGCAGCCCAGAAGAAGAATATCACAACATGAGTTCTCCCACTCATTTGTTGCCCGTCGGGGGTGGAGCAGAGAGAAAACCCGGTTTAATTGGAGAGACAGAATATTATGTTTCGATTCGAGGGTTTTAAGAGAAGGAATGGAATGCACAAAGAGAAAGAAGAAAGAAGAGAGAGGATAGAGTAGAGGAGACCACGAACACTATTAGCTGGCCATTGCCTAATTAAGTATGTAATTAAAATAAAACACTAAGCTTTAATTTACAAGAATTGTTTGCTTATGGGTTTCGATAATACAAAAGTCAAGCAATAAAATAACAAATGCAGTGTGTGATTTCGTTGTTCAGTTGGTGGAGGGTTGTTATACCTATTAGGTGCATGATTTAGACATCTATCTGGCATCTCACAAACCCTAAGACTCTCCCCAAGTCCACCTGGTAATCATAACCCTGCAGCCCCGCTTGCTTAATACCACGATTTAATTAAGACATAACAATAACATACTCAAAACATGGCATTCAGTAATTCAGCAGCAAGTAAAGCGGAAGAAGAACGAAAGTACAGGTAAATATCAAACAGGTTAACGACAAGTGAGAATTATCAATTTATGCAAGTTTTCAATGCTCATTAAGTCCTAATGGTAAGCAAATTATCCTAATAGTGAAAAAAATTCAAACAAATCTATGAATTTTGCGAATATTAAAAAGTAAAGTACTTTTCAGAAAAAATAAAAACATTCAAACACTGCACTTCTTTCGTTCACTTTTCCTAAACGCTGATTCGACCAAATCTTCAGTCTGAGTTCGCAGCATCAGGTCTCTTCCCTGTATACCTCTGTAATAATCAAAGGGAACGAGTAAAAATGTTGAACTTAAGGAAACTCTCAACACTTACAATTGATCCTGCTTTAGGGTAAAAAAAGGTGAATGGTGGCTGAACAACATTGTAGCGCTCTCACCTGTTTTCCGATGCTGAACGGTACATATTTGTACTTAATCATGTGCATTATCTGGCGCTTCATTGTAAGAGTAAAAAGAACGACCCAATAAAAGAGGAGAATGGGCCAGAAAACGGGGACATCAAACACAGAGAAGAAGGTCATCAGAAAAGCGACACAGAAAGCCTTTGTAATGGAATACCTGAAACCACATAAGCAAGAGAATAAATTACTGAGTCCCAGTTAACAGTCATAAAACTGAACACATACAAGCACATATTACTTGCAATAACGTATATGTTACGGTAAACAATGCGTTTGTGCAATGACTATTTTCAAATCGAGAAAGAACAATCTCGACTGCTGAAGTCATTCACACAATCGCAACTTCCATTCAGCGCTATCGAGAGCTGCTTCATGAAGGACCCCGTTATCCTCCATCTGTTTTACACTCTGTTGTCGATGAGGTGCCATCAGCGGAACCATGTTGATGCTAAAAGATCCTGTTGGCTTATCATGCTTCATATTAGGTTCACACTTCTACCATCCATACAATTGCACACATTTTAAAAGCATACATAAAAGTAGCCAAGACATTTTAAATTAGCCACAACTCCTACTTTCAATCACACCAAAAAAACCCGGGATCATAAAGGCGGGTTTTTTTTTTGGTATGATCGAAAGTAGCATTCATATAAGTGCTACTCAAAGTGTGTCAAACGCTAGCTCGTTTTACCCCACGCATGCTTAAAACAGTGCAAATACATCCCAAATCGAAAAATAGTGTTCTTTTGACAAACATTTTAAACTAGCCACAACACCTACTTTAGATCACACCCAAAAACCCATAGCAAATACGTATACAATGCAACTATCTCTCACAATTTCACTAAGGAAGTTCTTCAATTACCAGAACTTGAACTCGGGAAGGCGGCGAATGAACGGCTTAAACTCATCCGAACCTCGGGTTGGCAGCGAAGCCCCGTCCAACGCTTCGAGCTCCGGATCGACCTTTGGTGACAGAAACCCAATCAACAGATTCAAGATATAAATTCCCAGTCCGTATGACACAATGTAGAACCCTTGAACATAGAAAACTCGGAGCACATAAACCGCCACCACGGCAAGAGTCCCCAGCCACCTGTGAACCGGATTCGGGGTCGATCGGTCCAAGTAGTACTGAAATGCCCTTGACAATTCGTCCCTCCACTTCGCCAACGGCGCCACCGCCGAGCCAGCATCGCCGCCCCCAACTCCTTCCATGAAAAATTAGCCTCTGATTTTCCTGAGCATCAAAAGCAATGACCCAACTCAAAATACTAGATCTGTTTGGTTCCCGAGAAAATAAATCATCTCTAGAACATCACCAATTCGGATTTATCAGTTCACATTTCATGGGTTCATCAAAACCCCAATAATTTCTCAAACCCAAATCGGAATCAAACATTTTTCCAAGGAAAAACGAGATTAAAAATGGAAAATTTTGAATATTCTCCATAAAAACCAATAATTTAGTTCAAGAAAAATAGGGACAAATCTTTACCTTTCAGAAAATTGAAGTGTGTTTTGGATCAGATGAGAGAATCAAATTGTTAAATCCAAATTTCTAAGCAGATGGATTTTGTAAGCTTATTTACTAGTTGAGGTCGGTGCGATTTTGTTCGTTTCTTGTTTTTCCAGGAAAATCTTAAAGGGGAAGAACATAACCGCGTCCTTTAAATGGAGAAATTTTTCAGACCATCCTACCCACGTCATTATATAAATGATAGATATGTACGTTAAAAAATTGATAATTTAAAACATACAATTTTCTACCATTTATATAAAAATACATAGTGTAACATCCGTGTTCTGATCACAAGGAAAATTTTCTATCTTGACTAAATGGCGTTGGGCTTGGCGGTTAATTAAAGAGGTGGTTTGCCTGATCTCCCATTTCCATACTTTTCCTATCTCTTTCTGTTTTATGTGGTCACGGTTAAGCCTCGAGACCTGGAAGCAGCCTCTCCATAAATGGGGGTAAGGCTAGCCGACATTCACCTCTCCCAGACCCTGCATAAAGTGGGAGCCTTGTGCACTGGGTACGACCTTTTTTTTATTACTTTTTGTTTTATTACTTTTATAAAAAAAATCAATATAAAATATTGACGTAACTTAACCGTGATCACACAAACAGAAGGAAAGAGTATGAAAATGGAACGGTCCACATCTGTTAATTAAAAGCCTTTGCATCGTTTTTAGGGAGAGAATGTCATATTTAGCCCCAGTTTGGGGTTGAGGTGATTTTAAAAAAAGCTCATATGAAAAAAAGCTGGGAGTGTTTTTGGTGTTTGGTAAACTTAAAAAAAAGGGCTTATTTTGGAAGCTGCTGTGAGAATAAGCTGAAATCAAAGGAAAAAACTGAAGCTGCAATTTGTAGCTTTGGAAAACTGGCTTTTTTTCAAAGCACATAGAACTACAGTACTCCTTTAATGAAAAGATCCACTATCAGACTGCTTTTTTTTTTCTAAAAGCACTTTTACAAAAAAGTTTACCAAACACTCTGCTGATTTATTTCACAGCCGCTTATTCTCACAGCACAGCCGCTTATTCTCACAGCAGCTTTTTTTCAAAGCACAGCAATACCAAACCAGCCATTAAGGCTGCTTTGAAAAGTAACTTTAAAATGACTAAATACTCTTTTTCAGATGCATTTTTAATAATCATTATTTTCAAAATATTTATACTAAACATGCTTTCAATTATTTTAAAAGTACTTTTAAACAAATTCTAAGTGATGTTATTCGTCCACACAACGATCATTTGGGCATTATCACGACAATTCACTCTTTTGGAGGTTAGGAAGGCTCACAGAGGCGTTTTAACCTCTCCTTATCCACCATCGTGACTTACTATCACAATGAATCGAACTTAAGACATACCATGTAAAATACGAGCCTGAAATTCATTACCAACTACTAAATCAGCCTGTGATGGTAGTTAGTGATAGAAATTAAGTTGAACTCACTTGAAAAATCACCATAATTTAAACTACATGAACCAAAATGATTAAACTACACTAACCAAGATGAAGGGCGGAAACCATACTTTGGCTCTATTTAAATTGAAACCGGGGATGCTTTGGTAATTTAACAAAAGAAGGTTAAAATACCTTTAATACCCTCCCTAGGCTTCCGGATATTCTACCCTACCCCTTCCAATTTGGGCCAATACCTTCGTTTCTCCGGCCTGCTTCAAATCATACAACAGAGAGTCAGAGAGAGTGGCAGTGAGCGGAGGAGCTGGTGGTAGCTGGTGGTAGCTGGCGGAGCAAGTGAGAAGAAGATGGGGACTTTAGGACGAGCAATATACACCGTCGGATTTTGGATTCGGGAGACGGGCCAGGCCATTGATCGCCTCGGCAGCAGCCTTCAGGGCAGCTACTACTTCAAGGAGCAGCGTAAGCCTAAGCCCTTTCTCTCGAACCCTAGATCCCATTTTTTAGCTCAATCTCTTAATTTCGGATTTGATTTATTTTTTGTGATTTTGGTAATTTACGGGATGTTTGGTTCGCATTTCGTATTGATTTCGACATCGAAGCTGTAGAATTAGCATAAAGTTTAGGGCTTTTCTTTTCATTCGATAGGCAATTGCAGAATTAGATAGTCATGTATGTAGGAATGTGTGTGTTCTCACTAGCAGATTATTATCAACCCAACATTAATTTGAAAATTTTGTTAAATGAGGGTTCTTGGAATCGTTAAATATTGGGGGTGTGATATCCACACCCCTTTTTACGTCTCACACACCCTTCCAATTTTTGGCCGTCGGATCGGATGGATTGAAGAAAATCAAAGGACATAAATTAATAAGGGGTGTGCGAGAAGTAAAAAGGATGTGTGGATAGCACATCCCTAAATATTTTATCATTTATGTGAAATTAAATTTTGTGGAGTAGTTTTGGTTAATGGAAACGATTGTGCCTACCGTTCCGGTGGTAAAGTGGTGGCCTTTCTGCGTGTGTGTAGCCTGTCAAACCATAAAGCTCAAAGTTTTACGGTCAAGGAGGGGAGGAAATGAAGAAAATGAGAATGGAAATTTTTTATATCCAGCATTGTAGTTTGGTTCACCTATTTTTGAAAAGCTAATACGTTGCCAGCATAGTGCATTCTGAGTTTGTTTACATGGGCGATTCAGGGTTTTCGGGTTTTGCTTTCTTTTTTCTATGCATGAGGAAAGTGATTATGTTCTTTTCTGTAGTGTCTCGACATAGAACTCTGATGAACGTATTCGATAAAGCTCCTGTGGTTGACAAAGATGTGTTTGTGGCGCCAAGTGCCTCCGTCATTGGCGATGTTCAAGTGGGAAGAGGGTCTTCTATTTGGTATGGATGTGTTTTGAGAGGTAAGAACTTCTTTTGAGAGAGAGTCATATACAAATTTCATTTAATACGATGTATGCATGAGTTCTAAGTAGCATGAGAATTTTGGAAGAAAAGCCACTCTTTTTAATGCTGTTTTTTACCTTTTTGTTGGTCCATGAGCTGATGATTTGTGCTTGATGTTATCCATATCTAGAACCTCTTTAACCTTTATCCTGTGTTAGATTTTAAGTACATATATTTCTCATAACATCTATGCATATTTGTTTAAATTGTTACTGATGCACTTTGCAGAAATCGTGGGTTTGTTACACCTAAACATCAGTGCATGTACAGTCAAGTTTAGAGTTGAAACTAGGAGTAGTATTCAGATTATATGTACGTTTTATTGGGAGAATATGCACTGTTGCTGTTCTTATTTGTCTTTTTCATAGTTTAAACTTTATACAGTTGTGTCCCGTTTCTCATTGTATATGGAGGTTAGCAATGGTAGGAATAGTACCTGAGTACTAACAGTTGATTAGTTATCTGTGGAGAATTCTGGTTTGTTGTCAATTTAGCTGGATATGAGACATAATTGTTTTTTTAGGGCTATTTTAAAGTGGATTTTGGTAATAATTTGTTAAAAATTGTATTTTTGCATAGGTGATGTGAACAACATTGTTGTTGGATCTGGAACCAACATACAGGACAACTCCCTTGTTCATGTGGCGAAGTCTAATTTAAACGGGAAGGTGTTACCAACCATTATTGGAGATAATGTTACTGTAGGTGAGTAATTATGCTGTTGAAGATATGTTCGATTCAAATTTGCCTGATGGTAGTTCTGAATAAATTTTTATAATTTGTGTAACAAAAAATTGCATTGAGCAGGTCACAGTGCCGTTATACATGGCTGTACTGTTGAGGATGAGGCCTTTGTTGGTATGGGAGCCACTCTTCTTGATGGTGTCGTTGTTGAGAAACATGCCATGGTAGCTGCTGGATCCCTGGTGAGACAGAATACAAGGATCCCTAGTGGAGAGGTATGTGTAAAAAGCCTACCTGCTGACCCTCTTTATCCATTTATATGCAAAGGATACTGGGAGTCTTAACACACGTAGAAAAAATAGCTTAGAATTTGAATCTGTTGTAGTTACCACCATCCAGCCAGATTCCAAATCGCTGATCCGAAAACATGTTCTACTTTGGATCCAACAAAATAAATAAAAAATCAGTTATCTAAAATTTTCTTATATTTCTTCTGTTCTTGCTTGTTCTGGCAGTCGGAGAAGATTGTATTAATCTGAAATTCTTTGAATTATGATTGTGCCGAGATAGACTAAAAACAGATTAATCACAAAAGCCTTTCTAATATTCTAACATCTAGATCAGAGTTATTTAAAAAATACACAACAAAGCTTATCAATAATACCTAGTTCAAGTAGAGCGATATGAAGTGACACGGGAATGGCTGGAGCAGACTGCTTGTTATTCCATTTATTGTATTTTTCTTTACTTTTTATGTGTGTGTGTGTGTAGTGGCGGTGGTGGAGTTTCAAATTTTCCACCCTCTGTTAAAAGAAGTTGAGTTATACGAGCAGTAAACGTCTGTTGTTTGATTTCCCTTTTAGAAATAAATGTAGAGGGACATAAAACTATTTAGGACTGGTGTCAAGCATTCTCTTAACTATAAAAACGTAGGTACTGCAATCCAAACAAAGAGAAAACCCTTATTAATGGTATTATCAGCTTGGAATTGTATGCTACGATTCCGGATTCAGCTTTATCCAGGCAGTCTAAGTTCAGCTTTTATGTCTGCGGTCCCAGACCGTCAACTGTTATTGATAATTTTGTTTCACATGAATTTAGAGTAAGCAGTAAAATGCATTTGTATTACAGGTATGGGCAGGAAACCCAGCAAAATTCCTGAGGAAGCTCACAGATGAAGAAAAAGCCTTCATCTCCCAGTCAGCCACCAATTACACTAACCTTGCACAAGTCCATGCAGCTGAGAATGTGAAGTCGTTTGATGAGATTGAGTTTGAGAAGGCCCTCCGCAAGAAGTATGCTCATAAGGATGAGGAGTACGACTCAATGCTGGGTGTTGTTCGTGAGATTCCCCCGGAACTTATTCTTCCCGATAATGTATTACCAGATAAAGCAGCAAAGGACCTAAAATGATTTCGTAAGTTGTTTTTGTTTTCTCCTCCTTTTTAACTCGAATCTTGAGAGATTTGGGGCACCAAGAAATATTTGTTGTTAAGTACAAATACATGGAAAAGGTATCATTTCCTTTCCCAATAATAGCCGGTTTTAGGGCAGAACTATGAATCTTTCTAGCCATCGGATCTACTCTTTCTCGGCTTTTCAGAAACTGTATTTTCTGCTCCGGCGGTTTGTATGCTGATGATGTTTTTTCGTATCCAAGGTACCTAATTTCTTGATGACTTCTAGTTAATTTGTACATTCATCTCTTCTTCCTCTCGTTCAAACATTTGAAAGTACATTGTTGTCGTCGTAATGTATTTCCCGTATTTTCTGCTCTCTCACATTGCACTCAAATAGAAGACAGGAAACATTGTTTGCCTCACAATTTGTGGTCGATGGGGATGGGGATGGGGATGGGGATGGTGGATGTTTTGCTGAAGTAATCGTCATTGTCAAGCACAAACCATGCCGGGAAAATTCAACAGTTCGGCTGTCGGAAATTGGGGTCACAAGGAGCAACGTTTCGAAATGTTGCGCCAAGGCTCTCCCTCCCTTGCATTAAAGCATGCATACATTAAAATTAGGAAATAAAATAGAGCTTGGCCATAAAATGTGCGGTCACAGTTAAGCTATGTCAACATTTTATATTGATTTTTTTTTATAGAGATAATAAGACAAAAAACAATAGGAATGTAAAATATTGACGTGGCTTAACCGTGACAGTACAAATAGAAGAGGATAGGAATGACACCATAACAGGAGGACAGATGATAAAAAAATATCAAAGGACGTAAACTCGAAAAACCTGCAGTATTCTGCCGGGCGCGATTTAAAATAAGAAACGTTTCAATTTTCTTTTAGAAACTTGGGAACGTGAAATGCAACGGAGAGAAGTTTCAATTTCCTTTAAGAAACTTGAAAACGTGAAATGCAACAGAAAGAAGTGCAGAAGGAGAAAACAGAAGTACAAAACCTGCCACCTTTAACGTTGTAAATGTTTACGATGATAAGAAAATTTTCTAAAAGAATAATTGGCTAATGGGAATCTTGGAAAGCGGAAATCTGCGTGATTTCAGCAGAAAATGATGGAAAGTGATTGGGAGTTGGGACTCCCACCAATCATTCAAATGAATCAAACCCTACCCTATAAATTTCTCCTCTGCATGCCCTACTATTTATTTTCTCGAAAGTGTTGTTTATTTTTTGTCTATGAAGTAAAGCGTCATCTGTAATTTTTCTCGAACGTGTTGTTTATTTTATCATTTTTTTTGTTTGGAAATTAAATTAAAACAAACAAAGGCAATGGATGGATATAAAAGAAGGAAACTTTAACGAAAAGCTTCCGGTACTGTTTATTTTAATGAAAAATCATATTTTTACACTAAAAAGTCAATCATGGTACTATTCACTTTACACTTTATTTTGTCCTTATCTTTAAAACTCGAAGCTTGTTCCTTTAGTTGTTGGTGATGTGGTCTATTTATAATAATATAAGGAAAACTAATTAAAATAATTTCAAAACTTTGAGTTTTAATTAAAATGACAAAAATTTGTAAGTGAATAGTACCATGAGTGATTTTTTGGAGTAAAAATATATTTAATGTTAAAAATGAACAGTACAATAGTGTTTCTGTTTGGACCCAAATTTACACCATCGGCCCGTGCAATCAAGGCCGTTGAGTGAGCATAGCTCCCAACCGTCGGATGAAAAAGTGAACACATTTTATTATTGTTAAAGGATAATATTATGGTTTTTATCATAATAATTATCTTTTAATATGAATTATTTGCATCTTGTTAAACCAGATAAATATAATGCGAATTATATCCCAAGTAAGCTGTAAAGTTCGAATTGATTTGGGATGTCTGACTGCACTTGAAAGCTGAAAATGAATTTGAAATTCATTTGATCAGGATGCATGGTTTAAGGGTGATGGGATTATGATGATGTGATAAGCCCAGGATTTGATGGCCTTGGATAATGATGAGATGTGAAACCTAGATAAGCAAGGCCTTTTTGCATGGTGATGGGCATTGTCAGATGAGTTTGGAGTGATAAGAATTGATGATGGGCGCACAATATGCATGCCGTGTGAAATGGCTCTTGGAGATTTCTAAGGGACACCTGTTGTACCTCTTGTAAAAGTACACAGGCATAAGGAGACTATGGAGATTTTTGCCGAAATGTATGAAAAATAATATCAGTTATTGTTTTTGGGAGTATATTCGGAAAAGGTCTCTATTGGATTGGCGATCAAGGAGACTTGCTATAAATACAGAGGCAATGGCAACAGGTAAAGCCCCTCCAATTCAACACACAAACTGCCCTGCGCAAACTCTCGCTCTATGCGAAACATTTCAACAACCTTGAGATTTTTATTTTTCTTTTTCACCAACACATATTCAGTTTGGATAAACAGTACTGTGAATGCAACCGGTGAACATCTTCAGTTTGGATAAACAATACTGTAGTCATAGAACCATTCAACTGCGAAGCACCTTCAATTTGGATAAACAGCACTGCTCCGAGACCGACTGATTACCTATCCAAGTCTTGGTCTAAAAGGATTTTCAAGTCTTTATTGGCAGATGTCATCTCATTAGCCTTCTCAACGAAGTGAGGTGTTACCAGGTTACTACATTCGGCACCTTGAGAGCCGAATTTGATATTGAACTTCGCAAAACTAGTAGCCTTGTCTTCAGGCTCTAGAACCCAAAGGCCAATACGTGTTCCTTCCTCGGCCGCAGTCGCAAGATCAAGAAGTCAACAGTGCGCTCAACGCAACATCAACAAATTTTACTCCCCGGTCGAGCTCGACCGTCGAGTTGGCACGCCTCGCACATAACCGAATGACGTAGTTAGCTTATTAATTACTCGATTTGCGCGCCACGTAGGCTTGATAGTTTTTAGGATCAACAGTTTCCTTAAGACTCCCTGAGGATGATGCACTTAGCACTCGACTTCTGTTTAAGTGACATTTTGAATTGCTTAGTTCATAAATCCAACTAGTTTTTTCTTTCTTTTCTAAATTATAACGGTATGCTTCTCGCATTTCTAACAGTTTGCTTCACGCCTTCACCCATAGAAAACTCAATAAAAGATTTTTCGAAAACTCAACGATCACATTTTTAAAAGAAGAAGATTAACTCACGGTTTTTTTTAATAATTTATCGAAGTTTATAGACAATAATTTGAAGTCATTTTTCGTTATATTATAAGCTCTTTACACGTAATGTAGAGCATTCCGAAGATGCTCGGGCTCCACCACCCATGCAAAGAATTTATCGAAAACTCAACAATTTCATTTTCATTTGAAAAGAAAAACCCCTCATTTTCACAAAAATTATAAATTAAGTCGTGACATTTAATCGATTTTATAAATGCAGATAGTTACTGACATTTTATACTTCAAATTTTCTATATTTAGAAACAAAATGACACTTACAATAAGTAAAAAATAACTTCTTTTAAGAGTCAATAACATCTCCCGACAAATTTGTACGAATATAGTAACATAATGAAACATACAAACACATGACATCAACAAAACAAAACAAAATAAGAGGGAAAAAAAACACTAAACAAGAACAAGAACAAGACGAGGCCCGTTCAGCCTTTGGACTGGATCTGCTTGCAACGGCGCCTCCGGCTCTCTTTGCAGTGTATATAAACACACTACAACAACACAAGCCGAAGTGTGCAGAGAGTGAGAGAGAGCAGAGTACCGATTCCCAAAGAGCCAGGGTGCCAGGAAAATGGGTGGAGAAACCTTACCCGCCACAGCCAACCCCGCCGCGCGAGTGGCTCCTCTGGTACTGGGACTACAGGCTTCCGCCCTCGTCGACCATGTTGCCCGCGTTGACTGGTCCCTGCTCGATCAACTCCCCGGCGAGCGCGGTGGCTCCATTCCTGTAAACCCCTGTTGACTTCATTGCTTCTTTTACAATTTTTTCTTCTTTTCTGCTACTTGGGTTTGCAAATTTGGGTGCTTTTTATGGATTTATATAATTTTGGATTCTGGGTTTTGTTTATGTCGCTCAATTCAATCAGAAAGTTGAAGACTTTAGCTTTGGGACATATTTTTTGTAGGTTGAAATTGAAGAGCTTGAGCATATATTGAGTGAGGTGAAAACCCATGTAATTTCATCCCCTGATGATTCCTTGCCAATGAAAACCATCGCCGGTGGCAGTGTTGCCAATACAATCCGAGGGCTGAGTGCCGGTTTCGGAGTCTCCTGCGGGATAATTGGTGCCTGTGGAGATGATGAGCAAGGCCAGTTATTTGTCAGTAACATGAGCTCTCATGCTGTGAACCTCTCTAGATTGAGGATGAAGAAGGGACCCACAGCTCAGGTTGGGATTTAGCTTCATTTTCTGTTTTTTTTCTTCGGGGTTTTCGGATTGAGTTTGTATATGTTGAGTGCTGAAACTTTGATGGTAATTTGGTGTGGTGCAGTGTGTTTGCTTGGTCGATGCTTTGGGCAATCGGACAATGCGTCCCTGTCTCTCAAGTGCTGTGAAACTTCAGTCTCAGGTGCATGCCTCTGTTTATATGCCCATGTATGCATACATATCTGCGTGTCTGTGTGCATGCGTGTCTGTGTGTTGTGTGCTCGAGCTGTCGGTATTTTGACAACTTCTTCTAATGAGCTTACAAAGAATTATTAGAATTATGTTATCCAGGCTGATGACTTCACGAGAGCAGACTTCAAGGGCTCTAAGGTTAGTCTCTTCTGTACTCAACAAAGTGTAATGTCATAATTCGCTTTAGGCGGAATCATGTGTGAAACTTAGACATAGATGGTATGATTTTAATAGTTGAAAGGGTTTTGTAGATGTATATGCTGATATCTCTTTTCTTTCAGTGGTTGTTGTTGAGGTATGGTATCATCAATTTGGAAGTGATTCAAGTGGCTCTATCGATTGCGAAACAAGAGGGTCTATTTGTGTCCTTAGACTTGGCCAGTTTTGAGGTACAATTATTTTTCTTCGGATTCTAACGTTTGGAGGATGGGATTTGTCCAAATTTGTTGTCAAAGCAAGTTGAAATCCTACTCGTGATTTATTTATTGGGAGATAGCGTTATGGCACAAGATAATGCTGTTTCCAGAATGAATGACAAAAATTTCATTAGAGTGTAGCAGCCCCCATACAATCTTGAACCGAAAGTCTAACTAAAGAAAACTAATAAAGCTGCAAGTGCATTGGTGTAGAATTTTGAGTTTTGATTTTAATCTTTGTTTTCTTATTTCGGCTTTTAATATCAAGTTCCAGGTCTCTATATATTATCTTATATGGTCTTTAACCTTACCCAGATGGTTCGCAACTTTAGATCGCCTCTTCTGCAGCTGCTGGAGTCAGGGGACATAGACCTCTGCTTTGCCAACGAGGATGAAGCAGCAGAGTTGCTAAGGTGACTTTCATTTGGTTGGAATTGTAACATGTTAAAAACTGTTAACCCCGATCTTGATGAAATAAAGTTGACTCTTCTTTTCTACCATTTTGGTCGATTTTTCCTTCTTTTCTACCAGACGGGTAATGCGGTGTTAAATTATCTTGTAGAGGTTCCGAGGGTGAACCACAGGCTGATCCAGAGGTTGCACTTGAGTTTCTGGGGAAACACTGCCGCTGGGCTGTGGTGACGTTAGGCTCCAACGGATGTATAGCAAAGCATGGAAAAGAGGTCGGAAGCTTAGTAAGATTTTAGCCCGGTGTTATGTTAATTATCGAGGGTATCTTCTGAAATTTTTGTCTTCCTGTGTCAGATTGTGAGAGTTCCAGCCATAGGGGAAGCCAATGCAGTCGATGCCACAGGAGCAGGAGACCTGTTTGCGAGTGGATTTTTATATGGATTGGTGAAGGGATTATCTCTGGAGGAATGCTGCAAAGTAGGATCGTGCAGTGGCGGATCTGTTATTCGATCTCTCGGGGGTGAGGTCACCCCCGAGAACTGGCAATGGATGTACAAGCAGATGCAGACCAAAGGCCTCACTCTTCCTCATATCCCCAAATGATTTTTTTTGTTCTGTTGTTTTATCGGAACAACGATTGTTTCAAAATTCATGACTACTAGCCAACTATATATATGTTTTCGAAAGCGACGGCGTAGCTATGGTTGCATTTTGAGGCTGACTTGACGAATGCGTACAACGGAAGAACATCAGGGGAGGATCCTGAACGGATCGAGCCTGTTTTTGTAATTTTTCTTTCTGGTTTAAGTTGCGATGTTGGTTCACTATGTTTACTGTTTTTGCAAGTTTTTACTTGTTATCTTGTGGCACTAAATATTGCGTTTTTATCACAAATAGTCCTTGTATTATTTCGAATTCCTCAATCCTGTTCATATCTTTTTCTGTTTGATCAATGTTATCCACTTTTACGCAAAATCTGAAGTTGAAACTGCAATGCTTGCCAGCAACCGCATTTTTACTAATAAAATTTCAGAGAGAGACGATGGTATTAACGACTAAACTCCCTCTGAGGCGAAGCAAGAGCTAATAGAAAACCTAACTTTGCTCAAAAACCTTGTAGATGCAGTTAAGTTGCAGCACTCGCTAGATTGTCTGACAAACAACATGATAATCTACACTAAATTCATCAAAACAACGTTAAAAGATCACAAGCTCCACACAGCCTCGGTAAACGGTTCCTTAAGAATGGTGTTTTTGGACACCGTTAGGTTCAATAACCGTATCGTACGGTACCGAATGTAAAGTTGATCGAAGCAGAAGCCACCTTCAAAATGTTTGTAAGAGAGAAGAAAAAGAAAAAGGCGAATGTTCAACGATAGATTGTTATCTTCCACAATACCATCCATACTTTAAAACACGTAATGCTAGAAAACCTCATTGAAAGGACGGAAGGGCAACTGCAAGTATCATCCTCAAATATCCATCGGAGCTACATCTGGTTCGGGAGCAGCACCCTGGTCAGCGCCAGCACCCTCACCCTCTTCTGCAGCTGCAGCAGGCTCAGCACCAGCATCGGGTTCAGCTGCTTCAGCAGCAGGAGCCTCATCCTGCACGATCTCAAATGCATCGATCAACTTCTGGACGGTGTCTTGATCCAATATATGGAATGGCTCCCCAACTCCTACCACAGCAATTGTGCATATGGAACTTCTAAGTTTTTCTCCCTGCAAGGTTTCCCTAGTTGCAATGAGGGCATCCTTGATCAGATCCTCCCTTGAAGAGCCTGTGAAGTTCTCAAACCTGCGTTCCAAGTATGTCTTTGCAGCTTGTGAGCGAGACCCTATTGCAAATGCCTGGTATTCAAAGTAGTTTCCACTTGGGCAGTTGTAATATAGGTGTGCTCCAGACTCATCCAACCCACCTACTAATAGTCCAACACCATACGGTCGCTTCCATGAGCGCTGGGTACAGACCTGTTATCCACAGGGTATATAACTAAGATAACGAAACATAGGCCCTCCAAATAGATGTACAAATAGACACATGTAGTGGTAAACATGAAGGGAAGATAACTGATTAGAGAGACCAAAATAAATATTGAAGAGACATCAAGGAGTTTTTTTGCTCTTTTTGTGGCAGTTTTGCAAAGTTTTGCTTCTAATCAGAGGAATACAGGTGACAAACAGATTCAGCATCTACTAGTAACAAATGACCATTCCTCAAGCTAAAACGGCGGATTTCAGAACCCAACAAAATTACAAATTTCTCAAATCTAGAGTTCAACTTCAACTCATCTTAGAGAATAAGCAAAATACGCAACTAATATAATCTTACTGAATCCATTCACTTGTATCCTTGTGGATTAAAGCTTACGAAATTTGAGCTGATGTCTCCACAAAATTGTTAAATGAATGCATAAGAATATGCACATAGTTTCATCTTCTAGGGAAAGAGAAACCTCTGTATACCAATCCGAAATAAAATTTAACTACAAGTTTCAAAGATAAATAATCTGTACATGTGAGTGTATGCACAAAGAGAGAAGGGGGGAGGAAAGTTCTTATCTCAGAATTATGTCCGCACGCAAATAAAGTACATTTATCATAAGTTGTATCGTACATAATTCTTAACACCAGTAATCTACAAACAGTAGCTAGTAGCTCATCAACAACAAACCAACTATTCCAGAGGTACGGGATCCCGAAACAAAGTTATCCTTTCTACATGGAGCCGATTTTTTATTGAAATGCATAATGTACATGTCTATAACTACTTTGTAAGAAAAGGTATAAGATCTTCATGGTCACAAGAATTCCTACAAAGCCAGTTAGACAAATGTCTACAACTACACCACAATCCAAACCCAAATAGCCTATCATTTCTGCCCGGAAAATTCACTTTACCATATGCTACTCAGGTGAAACGGAGTAACAAGATATGACCTTTTAACTTGGGTTGTTTGATACCTAATGAGAACGTCAATTTCCCAGAAACCCCCGAAAATTAATAAGAATTTCAATTACCCACCCCGGGAAGAACCCTAATCCCCAATTCCCCATCCAACAACCACAAGTCACAAAACCCATTCACTAAAAACCAGAAATTTACATAAATGAGCAGCATAAACAGATTCAAAATTAGGGCTTTTACCTGAGCCTTATCGGCGAGCTGAACAACGAGTCGACCTACGGGGAGCTGCGACTCGTAAGTGTAGTTGTAATTTATGGCCTCCGACCGCATGTACCGGGAGAGCACCCGGCCGTCGGCTGTAAGCCCGGCAATGGCAACGCCGATATGGTCGTCGACCTTGAAGATCTTCTTCTGGTGAGATGAGAGCTCGGAGTTGGCCTTGTTGACGCAAGCCAAAACCACGTGGGTTTTGGATCGGAGCCCAATGGCGGCGGACCCTTGCTTGACTGCCTCCATGGCGTACTCCACCTGGAAGAGCCGCCCGGCGGGGCTCCATGTCGTCACGTCGGTGTCGTATTGGTTCCTGAACATCTTTGCGGCGTCGTTTCTTGTTTCTCTCTCTAAGCAGAAATCACAGTGCCTCTCTGTCGCTGAACTTCTGGGTTTCTTGTTTCTCTCTCCAAGCAGAAATCACAGTGCCTTTCTCTCTCAGTGAACTTCTGGGGAATTTTATAGAGGGTTTTCTTTTTGTTCAAGGCAAGTGAGACTCCGACTCTCTATTTCTGCAAGAGAGGGTTTTTTGTGCCGAATCCGGATCTTCGTCCGATCGTTTTGTGAGGATTCAGGATCCGTGAATGGTTCACTTTTATCGTATATAGTATAGTTAAAAATTATTTAAATATTTTTATTTAAAATTAAACATAAATAATATTTAATAAAAAATGACCGTAAAATATATAATGAATCAAAACAATTCACGAATTTTTAAAATCTTCGTAAAAAAGATCCGAAGAGAATCCTATGTGCCTTCATTTTTTGCTCTTTGCCTGTAATTGGTAAATAAAAAAATAGAAGAAAATAGAAGGTTTTAGGTCTGAGCCCAGATGGCTTGTTGGGCCACAGGCCCAAAAGTAGGTCTGAATTGTGGATTGACTAAGCAAAAAGTCTAGCCCATGGAGTTGGACTTTGAACCCAAAATGTACAAGAGAAAAAATTTCCCTACAGGGGGGAGATTTTTGGGGAACCCTCATATGTTCATTGGAGACGGATAATGTTAATGAAATTAAAATTTTAAATTAAATTTGCAAATAAAATTATGGAACACCAATTAGAAATAAGCACGTACTTAAATAATAATCTAATTATCAACAACCACATTATTAAGTTTGCAAAAATTGGTTTAAATATTTGATTTCCGTATAATTACCCCGTTATGGCAGATACAAGGGGATCCCCTGCATTTGGATCCACTAGTAATTGGAGAACTGTGGGACTAGAATGCAGGAGAGTCACCCATATAGTCCTGGTCTCTTAAGGTCATTATTTAAGGACCTGTGAGGACAAAATGCATATTAGTCATAAAATTATATTAGTTTAGATCTAAGTGTTTAAAATATTTGACAACTTAATAAAGCAAAGCAATAAAAATGAGTTTTTTATTAGTTCATGAATTTTAAGCTGATTTTGCTTTATTAAATGGCCAAATATTTTAAGTTTTTTTTTATCTAAACTAATATAATTTTGTGGCTAATATGCATGGGTCCTCTTAGGTCCCTAAAACGAGAACCTTATGAGAGCAAATTTCTCACTCATAATGTGTTTCTTGGGCAGATGGATGATTTGTCACAGTAGTTTCATTTTGGGATGCTAAAATAGCCATCGCCTCTCCACCATACAAGTTCTAACCCTACAACATTAGGTGTTTCATATTATTTTTTTCTATCAGCGGAGAATAACTTACATTCACTCAAATATATATTAGAGTATTATCGCAATCCGTATAATATAAAAACGACAAAATATACACCCTAAGATAACCGAGTTAATTATTATCTCGTGACATGGAAAAAACGAAAGAGAAAAGGCGAAAGAGAAAAGGAGCCTCATGATCATCACATTATTATATATTTTTTATGCATCAATTATTCATGCGATCATTGATCCAAGATATGCATTAGATTCCTCCCAAAAGGCTTTGTCTCCTCAGTCCAATCATATATAGTTGTTTACTCGTCCTCGCAGGATTGTTACTTGTAACTTTTGCACATGGAAGTGTGCATGTGTTGCCATAGATGATGATGTGCTTTTGTAGAAAGTAAAAGCTATGTCTTAAGAATAATGATTGTCTGTTTTTCTTGTTCTCGTACCCTTTCATGTATTTCTGTTTGTGTGGTCATGGTCAAGTCATGTCAATATTTTATATTACTATTCATTTTTGTCTTATTATCTCTATAAAAAAATAATATAAAATGTTGACGTGGCTTAACCGTGACTACATAAAACAGGAGGGCACGAGAGAGCACGGGAACAAGGTGAGCAGACAATCCTTGTCCATGTCTTAATCCATTGCAAGGTTTATGAGGTAAGATGTTGACCGCAAGTTGTTGACGCAACAATAATGTTATCTTTTTTTATCGAAATGTCATATGTTTGAGTTTTGAAAATAACATATTTGAAAAACACGAATAAGATTGCGTATGATACTCTCCGGCCGTCGCAAAGCGAAAAATCTTGTTGGTTTGGGATCGCCTTTTACTAGCAAGGTGTAAATTCTCACTAATTTATTTTCTTGGTATGCATAAAATAGAGGACAGATCCATTAGGGGCTTACTAAATCTCGAGACCATACAAAAACCGGAAGAAAAAAAAAGGCACATAAGGTCCCCAAAGGACTGTATGATAATCTTGATATGGGACCTTATGGGGTTAAAAATTTCAGATCCACCACTAAACGCTTGATTGGAAGCGTTCATGTTACAAGCATTATAAAATTATCAACAATTTGTCATAAAGCACTTTCATATATGTCATTTTAGTTACTTGAAAGCATTTTTAGCTAATAATACATAAGCAACTTAGATTACTTTAAGCAAATCGCATTACAATTTTATTTTTCAAGCCAAAAATGAATGAATTGGTTAGATCACACATTGGGCATTGCCGTTGCTGAATTTGTTTAGTTAGTTACGTGAATCGTTTCTCAATTGCATATTTGCATGCAAAAGGCTTCAACAAAAACGACCGTTAGGTTAATTTAATTAAGAGTAAACTGTCGATTTGTCCCCTGAACTATCATCCAACTTTCGATTTCTCCCTTGAACTTTTTAATTGGAAAATTAAGGACTTAAACTAATTTTTTTGGCCGATTTCCCCATGCTGTTAAATTTTCATTCATTCCATCCAAATTTCTGTTAAATGGAAGCATGTGCACAACATGTGTGGGTAGTTTGGTCGCTTCATTCTTTAAAATAATTGAAAACCTTAGATTTCTATAATATAAACCTATGCAAAAATTAGTTGAAGTCCTTAATTTTCCAATTAAAAAGTTCATGGGGAAAATCGAAAGTTGGGTGATAATTCAGGGGGCAATTCGGCAATTTACTCTTTAATTAATAATATGACCGATATCAGCTTTTATCATCTTGCCAGCATCATTTATCAGTGCAGACAATTTATGAAACACATAGCTGGATGCGAGTTAGTGCATGTTTATTGGGAGAAGAGCATGGTGGCAGATTAAAATGCCAATTGAAGTTATGATATGGATCTTGAGTACTATTATGTTGAGAATTCTTGATTAGATTAGAATTCGGTTATTTGATGATATGATATGAGTTCTTAGAACTCAAACTATCTATAATAACTTTTTGAGCTAATTTTTGGAATGATGCATTGCTTTATGTTGCCAAAAGAAAAAACGACCGTTAGGTTGTAGTCACATGATAAGTACTTGTGCAAACAACGGTTGGATTCTAGTCACATTCAAATGAATACCAGTTAGAAGAATTTTATTATAATTAGGCTTTCTTTATCCATCTTTCCCATTCCGCTTTTGGTAATAATCACTTCTTGAATAAGTACTTTGCCTCTCCGGCCTGCAATGAGTGCTTTCTTTATGCTCAGTTGTGGAGATTTACTTGTGGACCTAATGCATTATTATTTACTTCATTTAAGCATTTGAATAATTGGGAGTTCCTTTCTTTTTTCTAAATGGAAGGACAATATTCATTTACCGCACCAATACTTAGGGATGACATTGCTCGATTTCTTAATTTATGGACTATCTTGATGAGTTTGATCAGTTTGGTTCTCCTTCATTTCAATCGCTCTTATAAAAATGCAATAATGTACATTTTTAAAAAATAACAAAAAGTTCAAAAAAACTTTAATTTTAATAAAAAATGACAAATAAAGGTGTAGTGAATAGTATCAGGAAAACATAAAAATGTGGTTTTTCGTTAAAATTGAACATTAACAGAAGTGTTTCGTTAAAACTCCTTATTTTTTTAAGAAAAACCAATGAAACAGGTTTGAAAACTTTGAGTTTTAATGATAAGGCTAAAATAAAGAGTAAAGTGAATAGTACCAGATTTGACTTTTTAGTGTAAAAATATGGTTTTTCGTTAAGGTGAACAGTACCACAAGCTTTTCGTTAAAACTCCTTAATTTTTATTTATTTTTCAGTTGTTTATTTAACCTTCCTAAACTACCCCTGAATTTTATCATAATACCCAATTTACCCTTCCTCTTGTCGGTGTCAACTGTGGCAGATTTGACACTAACGCGTCGGGTTCGGAAGAGCTTCCCACGCAACACGACAGCACAAACAGCCAATCGATAAAAAGCCTGAGTCAAAAGTTCACTGTCCACACTCACCGGCTACCGCCGGTCACCCTCCCGATCTTTTTCTTCCAAAACCGATTAATTCAACTTCCGTACTCTGACAGTTAGACCGCACAACAGCATTTTCCCGGAAAATCCTCTCTCATAATTTCATCTCTCTCACGGTGATCTCTCTCTGGATTTTTCTCCGAACACTGACAGGAGGAGGAAGAAGAAGAAGCAAAACGCAGCGCAGCGCGTGGTTCTCACCTTCCGGTCCATCAATGGAGTACCAAGCTCCGTCCGTGGCGCTTTCTCAGAAGCTCTCCAACGGTCTCTCCATCTACGACGGCGTTTTCTCCTCCGCAGCTGCATCCAAGTTCAAAGGCTCGAGTTTCTCCACCCGAGTCGACGACTACGGCGAGATTTTCGGCGGCTCCGGAGCTTCGTCGATTCCGGTGCTCGACGTTCCGGAGCTCCGTGAGCGGAAGGCTTCGGTGGATGTTCGGAGCTCGAAGCTCGATTACTCTAACGTCTTCGGTGGATTTGGAGATTCGGATTTCGCAGTGCCGTATGAGGAGCTCTTTGCGGAGCCGAAGAAGAAGGAAAGAAGGTACATTTATTCCTCGCTCCTTGAGAATGCGCAATTTTACTTGTTTTTTTAGTCTGCAAGTTCGTTTCTTTCGTAATCTGGCATGGTAAATTATTAATTTTGATACTTTAGATAGCTTGTTCTTTGAAATTTCAGTTCGATTTTTATAAATTTGAGTAATTTCGGTAGCTGGCAGTTGTAAATTGCAGTTGAAATTCAACCGTTAATAATTTCATCCTTTGTTTGGTTTCTGAGAAAACTTCAAGAAGATAAATTCGAACCGAATCCGAGAGCTCTTAGTTCATATATGTAGGATTAAATCAACCGGAAATAACGGACATTTCACACCGAAAGATAAAGAAGCAAACTTTTACAGCTACATAGATTGACATTCTGGCGTGTGTGTATGACTGTATTCCTTCTTATGAATAGGAAGCCGGCTGAAAAGCAGTCGCCTTCGAAAGAGGCAGATCCTTCTAATACCGAGGGGAATCGTGTTTTGTCACATGAAGCGTCTTGTCAATCATTTGATGGTGCCAAGAAGCTCAACATGTCATACAATAAAACCAATCACAGAAGCAAAAGTTTTACAGGCGGAACAATGCTTCATGCTGTTCCAGCATATACATGTTTGGTTGATGAAGTCAGTCCCGTACGCGCGACTGAAGGTGATAAACCGGTACCTTGCAAAGAAAATGGTGCTTCCCCTAACAATAATTTATGTGAGAGAATGACGGAGGGCAACCATCTGAAGACGGCAAGAGACCTCCCAGCTGTTGATGATAGGAAGCAGACTTCTGGGGCAGGTGCCAAGGTTCAGAATAATTATGATCGGAAAAGATCCATTTCGCACAGTGAGTTATTTAATGCATGTGAAATTAATCCTTCAAGCAGTCCATCAATTTCAAGCCCGCTGTCTGAGGGCAAGGTTGAATTTGAGAAACCAATGGCTTCTATTTTTGGCATGTCTAGAAGTGATAATTTAGAAGGTTCTGGCCTTGTTTCTTCACCACCGTACTTTGATGAGGAAGTAGACACAAATTCTACTGCTGCTGCCTCTGCGGCTGCTTTGATAAAGGCAATAGAGGAGGCTCAAGCAAGGATAAATATGGCAAAAGAGTCGAAGGAAAGAAAGAAGACTGGTTTGCAAAATCATGTCAAACCGAGCTTTAACAATGGCACAAAATTTGAGGTGAAAGGAGATAAATTTGTAGATACAGTAAGCATACCAAAAGAGAGGAAGACTCGGGGGTTACATGAAGAAGGGGCTGTTCCTGTTCATGTATCTACTAGTACAAAACTTGAGGTGAGGGGGGATGGATTTGCAGACAAAGTGAGCATACACCAAGAGAGGCAGGCTCGGGAGCTACATGAAGAAGTGGCAATTTTTGTTCATGATTCTACTGGTATGAAACTTGAGGCGAAGGAGGATAAATTTGCAGACAAAGTAAGCATGCCTAAAGAGAGAAAGACTCGGGAGTTACATGAAGAAGTGGCTGTTCCTGTTCATCATTCTACCAGTACAAAACTTGAGGTGAAGGGGGATAAATATGCAGACAAAGTAAGCATACCCAAAGAGAGAAAGACTTGGGGGTTACATGAAGAAGTGGCTGTTCCTGTTCGTGTTTCTACTAGTACAAAACTTGAGGTGAAGGGGGATAAATTTGCAGACGGAGTTGGCCTACCCGAAGAGAGGAAGATTCAGGAGTTACGTGAAGAAGTGGCTGTTCCTGTTCATTTTTCAATTTTTTCTAATGGGCTGGCACAAGTAACTGCAGCACTTGATGATGTGAGTAAAATTTTTGGTGCTAAGGAAACTGGAGGGAAAATAGGGAAGGAATCTATATCAACTCACATAGGTCATACACAGCAACAAGCTGATGTACCAGAAGCAGCTGAACAATTTTATGAAGTTGCTGACACAGGTGAACCTGATTTCTCAGAAGCAGCAGAACAGTTCTATGAATTTCCTGACATGGGAGAACTTGATCTATCAGAACCAGCAGAAGTGTTCTATGAGTTTTCTGACTCGAGTGAACACCAGGCTACAACAGTAGAGGGTGAAGAAGCCAACCCTGCCGTAAAAATGATACAAATTGCTGATGAAGAGGAACAGAAAAGGAAGAAGACAACCATGGAAGCATTTGAAAATCCAGAACTATGTGGCGAGAGATTACAAGCAGCTAAATACGATGAACACGGGGAGTTAGAGAAGATATTCAGTCTGGATGTAGGGTTATCTAAGTGTGAAGAACATGCAAGTGAACTGGAAACAGTTAAAGATGCTTTTGATCAGGAAGAAAATGAGAATAGACTGGAAGCTTCCAGAGAGCATGAAGAAACTGGGAAGCTTCAGGTTTCCTATTTGAAGGAAATTCTTGAAGAGAAGCCAGGGGAGCTCGAGAAGCAAAAAGGATACAACAGAAGACATGAAACTCAAGAGTTACAGGAAACCAGACATGTGAAACGGAAATTGATGTCTCAAGAGCGGGTTGGATATGAGAAGATAGGCAACGAGGTTTACAAGCAGGAAGAAGATGAGAGGGAGCAAAAACATGTCCACAGGGAAGAAGACACTGTGAGGTGGTTCAACAAAGACAACAGGCAAAACATCATTGAGGAGACATTTAAGGACTCTAACGATGAGGAATATGTTGAGAAGAGAAATGAGAGCAAGTCTAAAGGACATGAGAAGCTTGACGACACAAGAGAAACTGAGATGATACCTGAAGGGGCCGCTAGTCAAGAGATAGAATGTGAGAAGAGACAACAAGAGAGGTTTCCACGTGTAGTAGATGGGAGAACGGAAGTACTGATTGATCAGAGTACAGAGGATGAGAAGGTGACAGATGCTCGAGAGGATCTAAAGAACCCAGACTGCAATTTTGAGGCAACTAATAACCTATGTGAAGAGGGTGACAGTGAGGACCTAAATGAAAAAGAGGGGCCCACTGGTCATGCAGAGTATGCCAAGGATGTAGAAGAAACTCTGGAGGTACCTGCACATGAAGAGGACGGGAATAGAATAGAAGTTGCCGAAACTTTGGATGAACTCAAAGAGAATGTGGACCATTCAGAATCAGTTGAAGAGGATAATGGCACAGTAGAGAAAGAGATGCATGAAACAGACTGCAATTTTAAGGCAACTAATAACCTATGTGAGGAGGGTGACAGTGAGGACCTAAGTGAAAAAGAGCGGTCCACTGGACATGCAGAGTATGCCAAGGATGTAGAAGAAACTCTGGAGGTACCTGCACATGAAGAGGACGGGGATAGAATAGAAGTTGCTGAAACTTTGGATGAACTCAAAGAGAATGTGGACCAGTCAGAATCAGTTGAAGAGGATAATGGCAGGGTAGAGAAAGAGATGCATGAAACAGACTGCAATTTTGAGGCAACTAATAACCTATGTGAGGAGGGTGACAGTGAGGACCTAAACGAAAAAGAGGCGTCCACTGGACATGCGGAGTATGACAAGGATGTAGAAGAAACTCTAGAGGTACCTGCACATGAAGAGAACGGGGATAGAATAGAAGTTGCTGAAACTTTGGATGAACTCAAAGAGAATGTGAACCAGTCAGAATCAGTTGAAAAGGATAATGGCACAGTAGAGAAAGAGATGCATGAAATAGACTGCAATTTTGAGGCAACTAATAGCCTATGTGAGGAGGGTGACGGTGAGGACCTAAACGAAAAACAGGGGCCCACTGGACATGCAGAATATGACAAGGATGTAGAAGAAACTCTGGAGGTACCTGCACATGAAGAGGACGGGGATAGAATAGAAGTTGCTGAAACTTTGGATGAACTCAAAGAGAATGTGAACCAATCAGAATCAGTTGAAGAGGATAATGGCACAGTAGAGAAAGAGATGCATGAAACAGACTGCAAACTTGCTGAGTTACCAAAGCAAGTAAAAGATGCAACAGAGGTCCATTCTTGTGACGAAAATGGAATAACTCTGAAGGGAAATGACATGAGCTCTGGCCAAAAGCAAGATCACCAGTTTGTTAGAGAGCCCGAAGTAGTCAACGATTTCGGAAAACAAGTTGAAGAATTGGGAGATATAAATAAGAAAATGATGGAAGCTGAAGTTTCTGCGAAGCAGGAAGAGAACAGGAATAATTCCAGGTCTTCACATAGGAAAAGATGGTTTGATAAACTTGATGTTTCTGAAACTCTTATTAAGCTCAAGGAGAATGGGAACCAATCAGAATCAGTTGAAGAGGAGAATGGCATGGAGGAGAAAGAAATATGTGAAGCTGATGGCTTGGCTTCAGGTGTCAAACTTGCTGAGATACTGAAGCAAATGGAAGATCCAATTGAGAGCCATTCTTGTGAAGAAAATGGGATAAATGTAGATATAAATGCCATGAACTGTGGGCAAAAGCAAGATGTCACTTTAGAAAAGCATGTCGAAGATATGGAAGAAATCAATGAGGATGTGAAGGAAGTTGAAGTTGTCGTGAATCAGGAAGAGAACAAGAATAATTCCAAATCTTCTCACAGGAAAAGGTGGTTTGATGATGGGACCAGTACAGAAGTGGCTCAGCTTTCTCATATCCTAAGAAGAAAGGGCAGAAATATGCGACTGGATCATGAGATGGAGACAACATGTGCAGAGGAAAATATGGATAATCATAAAGCAACCACGACAGAAGAGTGTGTAATCATTCATAGTTCACTGCAAGTCTTGGAACAAGAAAAAGGCGATAATCGTCAAACAACCTTGACTGCAAAGAAAAGTGAAAAACGTCATACTTCAAAGAAAGAAGTGGAACAACAAAAAATGGAAAATCAACAAGAAACCCCGACTGCAGAAGAGTGTGAAACTAGTGCTAGATTGCAAAAGGAAGTAGAGATAGAGAAGGAACTCCTGAAACAAAAACAGAATGCAAAAGGGAGGGAAAGGGAAAGAGTAAAGGAGAAAAAAGCTGTTGAAAGGGTAATTCGGGAAGCTCGCGAAAGGGCATTTGCTGAAGCTCGAGAAAGAGCTGCTGAAACTCGTCAAAAGGCAATCGCTGAGGCCCAAGAAAGGTCGGGAAAGACTTCTGTAAAGGCTAATGATATTTCCTTAGCTGAGAAGGCTTCAAAGGAAGCTAAACTAAAATCTGAACGTGCTGCTGTGGAAAGAGCAACTGAAGAGGCTCGGGAGCGTGCCTTAGAAAAAGCATTATCTGGAAAGGCTTATGAGGCAGGAAAGCAAGCTAAGAGATCTGTTTCTGAGAAATCTTCTGGTGCTTCTAGAGATGATGGAATGAAACTGGGTGTTTTGCCCTCTGTGAGTATTTGTTTTAATGGTTTACTCTTACCAAGTATCATGAAGCTTGTCCAGCTCTGACAACAAAAATTAATGGATAATAAAAATTCTTGCAGGACCCAGAGTCTAAATCAAGATACCCAAGTTCTTCAAATAACAGCGGTATGTGGTTATCTCTCAGTGCCATTATAGCATTCCATTCTATGCATTGATCTCGTATTTTTACAGTGTCATCATAGCATTCAATTATAGGATATGTACTATTTAACTCTCTGCGACTTCTGAACAATTTTTTTCCTTAATGAAGATCCTTCCCCTGCTGAGAGGAGTGGTGGAAGTAATGTTGAATCAGCTCAAAGGTGCAAAGCTAAGTTGGAGAGGAATCAACGGACGGCAGAACGTGCGGTATGTTTCTGATCTTTCTCGGTTTTGATCTTCTTGATCTTTGCTTGGTTCTGAATACACAGTGGTGACCTATAACAAGCCTTGCTTCATATTTTTTACCCTTTCCAATCTCCTTCAGGCTAAAGCTCTTGCGGAGAAGAATATGCGTGATCTTCTTGTACAGAAAGAGCAAGCTGAGAGAAATGTAATTTCTCACTCTTGTGAATACACGTTTACATACACACCAAACGTTTTCTCACTCTTGTGAATATAATTTTGTGCAGAGATTAGCAGAAGGTCTCGATGCCGAGGTCAAAAGGTGGTCAAGCGGGAAAGAGAGAAATTTGCGGGCACTACTTTCAACGCTACAATACGTATGTGCCAGCCTGATTCATGTTTCTTTTGCGATATTAGTATGCTTTGTTTCTGTTTCATCTTCAGTGTTCAATGATGATGATTGTAGGCAAAGCAGATCAAAATTTCCAGTTCCTCCATAATTAGCTAGTTTTAACTTGATGTCTGTAACTGGCAGATACTCGGGCCGGATAGTGGTTGGCAGCCAATTCCTCTAACAGAAATCGTTACTACTGTGGCTGTAAAGAAAGCTTACCGTAAAGCTGCTCTCTTTGTTCATCCTGACAAGTTACAGCAACGGGGTGCAAGCATACAGCAGAAGTACACTTGCGAGAAGGTGTTTGATCTTCTACAGGTGCGTTTCCAATCTTCTGTCCCCATCTGTATGAAGTTTATCAACTGCGATCTTTCTCAATTTTAGCAAAGATCGAGATCAAAATTTTGAGTCTTGACTTATATTTTTTTCGGGTTTACTCTCCAGGAGGCTTGGAATAGATTCAACGTAGAAGAGCGGTAGACTCTTTTGTTTTGGTACGTACAGAGGAGCAAATAAAGTATTACTGTGATAGGTTCCTCTTGGAATAATTTATATAGCAATATTAGGAAATAGAGTGTAGGCATTCTTTGTAGAAAATGGAAGTGTAATCCTATCATCCTCTTTACCCAGAAGTAAGAAAAATAGAAAAAGATAAGAAAATATCCGTCCTCGTCCTCGTTTTGGTTCGTCCCTTTTTCGTCTTTCCTCGTGTGAGTCAGATGTTATTTCTTTGGGTTGTGATCCTTAGAAAACAACAGGCTAACGTCAAAGGAGTTGTCGAAGATAAAACGTGATGAGAGAGAGAGAAAGAGAGAGAGAGATACAGGGAATATAATAACGTTACATCTAAGATTTGGCCGAACTATATGGTTGGGTAAATTCTTAGGCGTAACCAAGGTATATCCTCCATCTCTATCTCTCTCATTACGTTATCATCCTACTAGGGTTATCCAATTAGAAAATGGCATCCCCAGTTGCCCCCAAATGCTTCAAATTAGTTTTGACTCGAAAACTTCATGCATTAAGTTTGCATTTGATCTGGCTCCGTAGATGTCAACAAGCAAACAACATTCTGCACCTAATTTTCGGCTAGAAAGTGTCTCTAAACTTGACACGTTCTTGTACTGTTGTCCATACAACTCCAAGGCAGTTTCTGGTTTCATTGCTAGGGATATCATATGTAATCAAACTCCGAGCAGATGAAGCATGATAGCGTTCTGTGCGTGCATTCGATTCTCCGCTGGGGGAAAGACAATAGAATTTGGAGCCTCAACTACTCCGTCTGTCACTTCCACTCCTCTTTCTGCTGGTAAACAATAGGGCTGGGCACGGGCCGGGCCGAGCCGGGCCGAACCTAAGTTTGTAGGAACCTGACATTACCCGAAACGGGCCGGGACGGGGCGGGGATTGGATTTTCTTGTATAGGAACCGGACATTACCCGGCCCGGTTAAAACGGGCCGGTTTGAGCCGGGTCCACGGGTACCCTTTTTTTTTTTTTTTTAACTGCACAGTTTGCAAACTGCACAGATTGCAATTTGCAGCTGCACAATCACAGTGACACTGCATTTATGCAGATTTTGCACAAATTCACCATTATTCACATCTAATCTAAATACAAAGTCTAATATCCAAGTTCATAAATTAAGTTTTAACAATACATTCAAAATAACAATATTACATCGTCCTCCAACATCTAAAAATGAAATCCACATAATAGTTAGCTCAGTCTTGCTCCTTAAAGAATGTATGCTCGATCTATATAAAACCAAACTGCACATATATCAAAACTGCATTATAAATCAAAACTGCACATGTATAAATCAAAACTGCACATATATAAAAACTGCACATATAAGTAAAACAAAACACACACACATACACACACACACACACACAGAGAACATACACACACACACGCACATACACACATACACACATGAAAATAGCTTACTAAACCAGAAAATGATAACTAGAATTGCACTTTAATTTCTGGAATTAAACATGAAAATGGCATATACCTCCTGCTTCACTCATTCACATTTGCACAGATTCAAATTCTGTCCTAGCCCTAGTAGATTCACTCATTCACATTTGCACATTCCCAGCCCCTGCAGATTCACAGTCACTCATAAATCCGACTACACTATAATCAAATGCTCATAAATTTGCAAACTGCACAGATTGCACAGATTTGCAAATGGGCATAAAGAGTGAACAATTAAACAGAGTGAACACAAGCAGGCAGCACAATTAAACAGAGTGAACACACAACACACAAATTGTTGACCGACAAAACATATGCACGATATCCGTGAAACAATTAGGCCATTTACATTTTTACAATTTGATATAATGCGATCTCCGTGAAACAATAATCCCATCAGCATCCAAAACATATGCAGGATATCAAACTCTAACTTTTTTTGTTCTTGGAAATTCTGGACTTCAATTAACAAATAAAACTATACACATCTTTATCTTCATTACCCCAAATTAAAAAATCCCATATTTAAACAAACAATCAGAAATTCAAATTGCCTAATTAAAAATCAAACACAATGTCCAAATCTTTACCTTCTTGACGAGCCCCAATTGTTCCGTCACCACCCCCCGCCACTCCCACCACCGGAACCTCCGCGATCCCCCGCCTCAGTCCTCAACTTATTATTCTTGTCCTCCAAAATGGCGCGAGCAGCCGCGATCGCGGCCGCAGCTCGATCAACAACCTGCATTCGCTGAACCCGGTCCCTTTCCTCCTTCGAAACCTCCAGAATCTTTTGGAACTCCTCGCTCCTCCTCTTCTTCTCCAATTCCTCAACAGGCTCCACACTCTGATCATCAACATCGATTTTTGCAGAGTCGAGGGAAGGTAACTGTCGAGGGACTGAGGTCTGACCGTCTGAGAGTTTGAGAGACAGTAAAAAGTGAGAGTCGGGAATCGGGAATCGGGATGAGAGTCGACCAATATGTTTGATTTCAAGTTAAGAAAAATAAATAAAATCAAAGTTTTAGCTAGGATTCTGAGTGAGCAGAGGCAGAACCGAACAAGATTGGGTCGTCAGTGCTACGCAATCTTCATCTTCTCCGATGGTGAGGTGATGTGGTGTCGTGACTGTCGTCGTTGTCGAGGGGGAGACGAGTGTGAGTCTCGGCGGCCCTGTTTGGGATTTCGAAGAATGAAATTTGGGGGTGGGTTTTTGGAGAGTGGGATGGAATCGATGGATAATGGTTTAGGTTTAGAGATTGTATATAGTTAGAAACGGGCCATCCGGGGCCCCGTTATTTCAAATCCTAGAACTCGGCCGCCCCTTAAATCCTAATCGACCCGCCCGCCCCGCCCCGTTTCTATTCTCAAAAAATTGGAACCGCCCCGTACCCGCCCCGAACCTGAATTACCCGCCCCTACCCGCGGTTCCTGTACCCGTTTGCCCACCCCTAGTAAACAATGCATGAAATAGGCTTCCGGCCCTGCTATCTTCATTAGATTTTCATCAACCTTGCTGATACTCGCCTGCTGGTGATTTCAACCCGGTCGAAAGGAAAAAGAGCTTTCCGCACTAGCGACTTAGAGGTCAACTATTCCCAATACATACAATCAATTTAAATCAAACTATTCGGCTTTGTCTTCCTGCAACGTATCCATGATTATGTCCGGTAGTTCCTTAAACCACGACACCTCAGCTTGTCTTCCAATTCCTGATCGAGCTAAACTGTGGGCAACGTTATTGGCCTCGCGAGGAACAAAATTCAGTTTAACTTCAGATATCACCTCTCTGCCCTCTGGAAAAAGAGACTGGATGAATAACACAGCCCTTCTGCCGCCAAAAGTTGGGCCTGTAATGGTTCGTATACATGTTCGACGGCAGCGGAACGAGCAGCCACAAAAATCTCCTGCATCATCTCGGACAATTACACCTATTCCTCCTCTTCTCGTCCGTTCGTCCCACGCACCATCGAAGTTTGCACTTTAGCCACCCCAAGTTTGGTGATGACCATCGTTGTTTGGCAACGCCGTGGCTCCTCTTTGTGGGTGAATGCCATTGCTTATAAGACTGCAGCCAACCTTCCGCATTCACCACAAGCTCTCTTGGTGTAGTTGTTTTGCCTATCCACAATACATCATTCCTGCTTTTCCAAAAAATCCATATTAGTATCGGAGCCAGCCTTTAGATTTCAGGGCCTGTGCGAAAGTGAAAAAAGTACTAAGAATTTAATTTATTTTTTTTATATTTTTTTGTTTAAAATAATAATTTTAGTTTTCAATTGAGTTTCTATAAATTCTAATAGCACAAACAAATTTAACAAATCAACAAGTGAAAATGTGGCGTATTGTTTTTCCTGTTGGAGATGAGATGAGTTTCGAACCCATCCCCTAAGCCAATGTAAAGAAGCAATAATTCTATTTGCACTAAGACTCAAGTTTGTAATATTTTACACATACTATTATATATAAGTAAATGCATGCAAAATTGAAAAATCGGGACCCTTCCGATTTGGGGGTCCTGTGTGGTAGTACAACTTGCACCCTCTCAGCGCCGGCCCTGATTAGTATCAAAATCAAATCAAATGTTTTCTTCGATGCTGTCCGTGCTAGCTGGGAGATCCAATCCCGAAGGCTTAAATTATGTGAATTGTGTGTTCTCGAACCCAGACTTGAGAATCACATAGCCGATGCCATAAAGCTGTCTCTTAATGCACTATAGTTTCTGGGTAGCATCCACATAGTAGACAATCATCATGTCGGATTATCCTTCTTTTCATAAGTTTTGTCCGAGAAGGTACTTTTTAGGATCAGGGCCCCCAAAGTGTTAAAGTCGTGACCCTCACAAGAGGTTGTTCTGGTTACTTACCGGGTAACAAGATATATGTGTTTCATCATAAGTTTGGTTATGTCCATGAGGGTGGAGGAGTTCTCATTAATAATGTAGAGTTTACATAATATAAAGATTCAAGCACAATCATCATTAGTGAGCTCTAATAATGAATTAGGTATAATAATGGCATTAGGGATTAATTGTAGGAGAATGATCTCCTCCTACAGTAGAGGAGAGTCGCATGCTTTCGTTTGTAATCGATGTGCGACTCTAGGAGCTTTATTTTGATGTTGAGACGTGTCGCGTCGTGGTTGGTCTCTTAGTTGGAGAGAAATTCTTGTGCTTTGGCAGGGGTGCCTCAACATGAGTCCTTTAGTGGGTCCCTAAAGACATAAAATTGACCCGTGCTTGGTAATTTCGGGATTAGTGAAGTATGGTACAAACAACCACAAAAACTAAAAATTTTCAATAAATCCCCGTCCAATAATCAAATTCTTACCATCATGCAAACCTTTCTATATGTTCTAGTTTGCTGAATAGAAAGACGTTTCAACTTCTTGTGAATGTGATTCCCTATATGGAGTGAAGGATTTGTAGAGAAATCGGCGATTTCCAGCTTAAAGCAGTTTTTTTTCTTCTGTTGATAATGAAGCTATGATGGAGCGTTTTTCAAAATATGAAAACATGTCGTTGACTATTGTAACTTGTATTGTTATTTGTTTTATAAGTTATGAATAATGGAACTATGATTTAATTTTTAAGGTTATTATGAGTCTAAGAAATGTTTGTGAACTTTTCCATGTGACTCTCCGAATAATTTTTCCTGGATCCACCACTTCACACAACATAAATCTTTTTCTTTTTAAAAAAGAGGGATAACTGGTGGTAAGCCACGGTTATCCACCACTTTCAGGCCCGGAGAGGATATGGGGAATTTCACCATGCCCGTAGCCAAGGTCAAGCAAACTCACTAACTCGGAGCATCGAACCCGGAACCTCCCACATTTTCTTTGTCTTTTTGAGGAGCTGCATTCCGCACCCTTACCGCTGGGCTACTTGCTGTGGTTACACAACAACATAAATCAAAACAAAGAAAATGTTTTAAATACCTTAACGCTTGGGTTGATTCGATGGAGAGAGAGAGAGCAACGAAAATTTTCTCCGGCGTTTCACGTTCTCTCTATATGCTTCGGCATTATTTTTTTATCTTTTATCTTTTAATTGGGTGGTAAAATAAATTTTCAGACTAATAGTTAATTGGAAATTAACTTTTTTTGTTTACACATTATCATAAACTCTCTCATACATAAAACCAAACAGCATTTTATTTGCAACATATTAAAACAAAATGTCTACTAGTGCTTCTAATATTTAGTTCTCAAGTGTTTTGGCTCTAAACGACCTCATACTTATTTTTAATTTTTTTTTCTCTTTAAAATGACCTAATACCTTGTTAAAAAAATATATATATGATGGGCTCTTGCAAGCAAAACTACCAAGCATTTGGGTCTCAATGCTTTATCGTCTAGTGTCAATAATTGCAAAATAACAATAAGTTATGTACACTAACTTAAACGCCAGGAAAACTATACTTATTAGAACATATTTGCTCCTCTTATATGGTGTACGACAATCATTCCGTGCCCTTACCGCTTTTAAAAATTATAATAATTTTAGCCGTTAGATCAAATTTCAAGGATCCAGATCATTTGATCCGTAAGATTTGGTGGAAAGAGATCCGTTGGCTGTTACTTTTCTTGATTATAATTTGTGTCGCCCACTTTCTAATATTATTCTTAATTGGAGATTAAGTGCTCGTTTGGATGTGCTAGTCTAGAAAGCGCTTTTACTCACTAGCGCTTTTGTTTGTAGCACTTTTGCGTGACGGTTTTATAAGGAAGTAGTTTGTTGTTTGGCATGCAACCACTAAGTGCTTTTTGTATTGTATAGAAGCGTTTTTTATATTAAATAGAGTGTTTGGTTGTCAAATAAAAAAGCGTTTTTCCTTAATAATTCTCAATAATTTTTTCATAAGTATTTTTTTGTTGTATATAATTAGCATACAACTTGATTAAAGTGTTGATGAAAATTCAATTAAAAAAAATAATGATCATTAACAAAATGATACATACTTATTAAGAATATATGTTTGTTTCTTTAAAAAAAATACATTATAGTTGCATGACAATTAAATGTGAAATAAGTATTAACTAGATATAAGAAGATTAGCAATTCTTTCTCGTTCAACATCTAACTCTCGCCTATGAGTAAAATTTTCATCAACAATCTCTTCATCTCTATGATCTTCCTCATGTCTAGGCAGAAGTAGCTCATCATCGTCATAAGGTTGGAACTCTTGATCTGTCATGGAATGATTTCTAATAAAATTATGCTAGGCCATTGAAGTAACAACAATTTGTACCTATTTTTCAAAAGGGAAGTTACGCATGAGACGAATCATTGTCCATCTATTTTTCCAAACACCAAAAGTTCTTTCTATTGTGCACCTTAGGGATGAATGCCTCTGATTAAATATCTCTTTTTTCCCTCTTGGCTAACTTCCACGTCGAAACTCGGGAAGATGATATTGTTCACCCTTATAAGGTCTAACAAGGGCAAGATTCCTGATGGGGATCTTCATATTATCATGGAAGCTATAATAATCTATATGCATGTTCGACTAATAATTAGTTATGACTTGTGGGCTAATAATAATCTATATGTACGTTCGACTCAAAGGATATGAAACCTTCTTGTTTGAATGACTTTGTGTATTGCGTTACTATTTTAAAGATCCATAAAATGCTACATATAATAATAAGAGGGCTTTCTTTTCTCTTAAACAGGGTGATGTTTTTTTTTTTAAGAACACAGGGTGATGTTTTAAAGATCCATATATGCATGGGACACTTATTCTCTATCAACAGGAGGCCGAAGGTTTGGTTTATGTTTTCTCCTTTTTGTTTCAATTTTGAGACCAAATTTTATTACTTTCGAGTCAATTCACAATGATTTCGACAAAAATAATATATAATCAGTAAAATTCTCACACTACATACAAATTTAAGATAAGAAATAACATACATACCTCCAAAAATATTTTAGGTTATGAAGATGTAGAGAGATTTGGGAAGATGGAGAGGAAGATATGGAGACCAAGTGGACTGCTCTAGCCTCCAAAATAATCTGAAAATAAAAAAAACCTTTTGCGGTTTCAATGTGCAACCCTAGAAAAAATTGGTGACGGTAGTTTTGATGATTTTATAAAGTGGAATATCATTTTAGACTTTGCAAATTAAAAAAATAGGGATAATTTTGGAATTGAAAAAAAATCATCAAAGGGAGCAAAGTGCTTCCCTTGTTTTCTTTGTGCAGCACTTTTAGGAGGAATTTACCTAGGAGGTGCTTCTTAGAAAATGCTTCTTAGTGCTTCTACTTCTAGCTAAAAGCACTTTCAAAATGTTTGCCAAATGACCATTTATTTAAACTGAAGCGCTTTTACTCATTAGGAAGCGCTTTTGGTTCTTACAAAAGCACAATCAAACGAGCCCTAACTTTTTAACAACATAGATCAAATCCAGGCCATCAAATGTAAAACAACAGAGATTAAGCCTCGACACAAAATGCAAACATTAATCACTCATCAATATTTTAAGCGGCAATTTTGATGTCGACGACGTTGCTCTCATCAGCAGCCTCAGTTTTCTCGGCCGGAATCGGAATCAATCCCTTTGCCCGGCACGTATCAACAGCCCCCACAAACATGTCCTCGAAGCTGTACTTGAACTCAAACCCTATGTCCCTCAACTTCTTTGAAGAAAAATGAATAGTATCTAAGTTGTCGTCAATGCCCTCGAACCTGCATTGCATTAGGGTTTAGTTAACAATTATTATATGCGTAACAAAGAATTGATTAGTTAATTTATCTTAAGGGTTAGGAGGGATTAATTAGCAATTACTTTGTGGGAATATTGTACGCAGGGTATTTTTCTCTGAGCATTTTTACAAGGTCGTGAATTGTTGCATCATGTGACGAACAAATGTAACGGCCCTCAGCTTTCGGATGCTCATACAAATAGATGTGAGAATTGCAGAGGTCGTCCAAGTGAACATACTGCCCCTGCTTGATGATGCCATAATGTGATTTAGTTCCTGAAATAATTAAATAATTTGATGTTAATTACATAGGTTAATAATTAACAATAGAACTATACAACATTTATTTCTTTTATTCGAGTGATATTTTCACTTTACGTGTGATTGGTGAAAGTCCAGTGATGAGGCTTGGTGGCATGGATGGCATGAGAAATGGACCAATCACAAGAGTTGGGATAATGGTGATGAAATCAATGTTGTTTTCTTTGGCATACTTCCATGCAGCTTGCTCAGCTAGAGTCTTGGAAACGAAGTACATCTGAACAAAGTACGTTAAAATTAGAATATGTATTGTTCGTGACTTTTACTTTGAAATACCAATAACAAATCGGTTATGTTTACTTACCCAACCAGTCATCTTGACGGAGAGGCAAAATTCAACGTCGCTCCAGTTGGATTCGTCGTAAACCGGCTTTTTGTGCTCTTCCATAATAACGGTTCCTGCTGAGGATGTGAAGACCAACCTTCGAACTGTTTTAACTTTCTGGCATGCCTTCAGGATGTCCAAAAGTCCATTGATTGTTGGCTTGATCACTTCATTCTGTCAAACCATACAAAATTTAGTTTTCTTTTATCTTATTCTTGTTTTAGTTACCACTTCTCAGTACTTAATCTTTTGATACGAGTTTAAATTTCCCTATTCGTATTGATTCTGTCATATGTGATATAGGTATTAATCTTCTATGTTGGGTGGTTTCTTACAGGTTTTTTGCTTTCAATTATGCTGCAGATGCTGCCTGCACTATTCTACGGGTTGATCAGGTAATAGATATTAACTAATTATTTGTCAGTACTTTTCCTAGTTTTGCAGTACCCAAATTTGGCATTCACTTAACTTTTAAATGTTAACATTCAATATAATGTCAATTTGGACTATCGTAAAGGAGGACTTTGTGAGTTAACATTCAATATAATGTCTAAGTATATTGGGATTGGAGGAATATGAACTTAGAAAGGGATTAGGCTCTTTGTAATGGGAAAGTATTAGATATAACTACATGCTTTCTTGTTGACAAATTGGTTAAGTTTTCATTGTTTATTGTAATACTATGTTGTTATTGCAGCCCTTCCCCATTTTCTACTATGGTGCTATATCATCCAAGGTTTGAAGTCGCAACTGATGGTCTTCGGTAAGCCACTAAATTCTTCTCCTCTTGCCCCATGACACAAGCTCCTGCATATTTGGTGTTATTAGATTTTTGAAGGCCATTTGATATAAATCTGGGAATGCTCATTTTCTTTCATGGAAATAAAGCGGGGAATGCCCTTTCCTCATGACACAAGCTCTTGCATAATGCTACATGGCAGCCCGACTTTAAGGAATGACAGTAGGATAATTTTATTGTGTGACATGCTTTAATTTGTATAAGCACTAGTATATGTATCATTTTTTCTTTATGCGTGCATGCATGCATACATGCATGATACCTCGGGGTCCTTGGACTCAAAGTCCATAGGTGTAGCAACATGGAATACTCCGGTGCAGCCTTGTATGGCTTCATCAAAGCTTCCCTCGTCCGCCAGGTCCGCCTTCCACAGCGTCAGGTGCGTCTCCGCCTTCGGCAAGTCCAACAGATGCTTCACCTTCTTCTGATTCGCTGCAGTCCATTAATAAAATTACAAAACATTAACTCTAATAAAATACTTATGAAAGCCGAAAAGTCAAAAAGCAAAATGTAGGATATATAGACGTACTGGGGTCACGCACGGTGGCGCGGACGGTGTAACCGCGCTCGAGGAGTCTCATGACAAGCCAGGAGCCGATGAAACCGGACGCGCCAGTGACACAAACGGATTCAGACTTCGATCCCATATCTTCTGTTGAATCTGTGTACGTGCTTACGGAAGTATATTTCACTAAAGTTGGAAAATAGAAACTCGGAAGAATATCCAAAAGAGAGCGTATGGTGCTCAGTGAAGAGTTGCTAGTTTATAAATGTTGGGGAGGGAGGACTGCTACCCCCCAGCTACCACCGGCAGCCTAACCCGCTCCCGCACGCGTTTTCTCTTGTATTGTATCTCAGCTTCAGCGTGGCATCACGTGCGTGGTTGTTGATTTTCTAGTTCTTCGACTTGTTGGCTTATATGGTGTAGGATTCATCTTATGGGATAACGCACATGAGGAATGAAAATCAGTAGATATTCATACTAGAATATACTTGGGATTTTCATGGGCTTTTTAGTCCTTGTACATTCTTCCCAACCACTATATAAGGAGACTTTGGGGAAGAGAGAAATAAGGGACATTTTGGATGCTGTCCCTAATTATGAATATTCTTTGACTAAAACCTTGTTGGTTTTCAAATTTTTATCGAAGTCTTCGAAATTAATGTGATAATGTATTTCTATGTAGGTTACTATATTTTTAAAATTAAAAATTGAAATTTATAGTTGTTTGTATTAATGAGATTTTAAATAAAAAAACCCATCACTTGTGGATTAAAATTATTAAAATGTAAATTATACTCTCCAATATTGTGTGTGTGTGTGTGTATGTTTATGTATGTATATAAACATGGGTATATTCATTAAAATTAACAAAAAAAATTATTGTACTCAAATGTGGGGTGATCAGGTCTATGATGGCGCAGACAAATCTTCCCATATCTTTTTGGGGTGATGCATTATTGACTGCGCCATATATACTTTACTGTGTGCCTTCAAAGGCGGTTCACTCAATGCAACACTCACTCCCGGCCCTTCCATGGAGGATTTCTAAGCTTGGAGGGTCATGTGACCCACCTTGCCCCAACGTGAATCCGTCTCTGTACACTATCATATATATTATTAAGACTTAAAAATCATGCTACCATCAGTCGTCTACACCCGCTTAAATATTTTCTTATTACTCATGAATGTAAGAGGCTCGCATCTTATCATTGATTAAAAACTATTTGTTTATATATATGCATCAACGATTGATCTTAATAACATTTAAGCATGGTTGCGACAAACCTTCCATTCAATTGCATGTGAGATTCCATCAAATTCATGCCACCTAAGTTATGGTTCCTATTTTATGGACCACTGTTAGTCTATTTCTATTTAATTGGCTATCAGACATGGATATCTAACCTCTCATCCTTTATGTTTGGCCTCACGAACCATAACGTAGGCTAATAGTGGTCCTCAACCTATGTTCTTTAACCTATTTTTTTCCCCTCTAAAAGATATTTTAGCTAGACGATGAATATGAGAATGATTTCTCCTTCGAATTGTCACTTGTGCACTTGGAGGAGTTATCAAATTATTAAGACATCACACATTCATACATTTGTAAGGTTTATTATAGGATGAAACACATTAATGCTTAACAGCTGTTCACATATCATGCAGTGGTGGATCTAGAATTTGAACTTTGGGGGGATCTAGTGTTAAAAACAAGTTTTTTTAGGCCATCTCCAACTAAAGGAGGGCCAGAGGGCTCGTTTTAACCCTCTGGTTCTCCAAGAAATTAATATTTTAATGAATAGTGCAATGTCATATTTTTTACCATATCCAACAGAGTGGCCAGAGGGCCATAGGCCAAACATAGCCATGTGAAAAAAAACCATCTCCAACCAAGGGCCAAACATAATTTATTATTTAAATTAAAAACTACAACAACTTAAATTTAAAAGCTGCAAATTAAATTTAAAAGAGGACACTTTGGATGCGGTTCCTAACTATGAATATTCTTTGACTGAAATCTTGTTGGTTTTCAATTTTTTATCGAAGTCCTTGAAATTAATGTGATAATGTATTTCTATGTAGGTTACTATATTTTTTAAATTAAAAATTGAAATTTATAGTTGTTTGTATTAATGAGATTTTAAATAAATAAATAACCCATCACTTGTGGATTAAAATTATTAAAATGTAAATTATACTCTCCAATATTGTGTGTGTGTGTGTATGTGTGTTTATGTATGTATATAAACATGGGTACATTCATTAAAATTAACAAAAAAAATTATTGTACCAAAATATGGGTACATTCTTCAAAACCACGTAAAAATAATAGATATTAGGCTTAATAACATTAGTAAATTTCTTTGATTAAACTTGACATGGATACATTCTCAAATCAAGAAAAAGAATGTACCCATATAAGTTTAAAAATGGATTAGAAAAAAAAAATTGAATAGATTTTATATTAAAAAAAGGGTACATTTTACTACAACAAATTGGTATATTTAAGAATGAGTACATTTTAAGATTAAAAAAATTGAAAAATTACATGAATGGGTACATATAAGATTAAAGAATTGGAAACCTTTTTTTATAAAAAATTAAGGGGTACAAACTTATTCTATTTTTTTATTTATTTTGGAAATGTTTTGAATTGAAAATTAGTTAGGAGTTTAATAAAGGTGTGAGTATTAAAATCCTAAATCAATTATTAATTTTTATTTTAAAAATTATGTAACTGACATGTAAATTCATTATTGCATTAATGTTAGGGACCTTGATCAGAATCTGAAAACTAATAAGGTTTCAATCAAAGAACATTAGTAACTAAAGACCGGATACTAATTTTTCCATTTTAAAACTACAACAACTTAATGTTGTATCATGTTACTTAATGTTCTTTAATGTTGTTTAATGGCTTAGGAAGTTATAGGAAAAAATATATATAATTTTTAAAAAATTTTGTAAAAAAAAAAAATCTGTAAAAAAAAAAATCAAATATAACGTCAGCTAACCGTTGCATTCAAATTTGTGGCTCAGCCTAGGGTTGGCCCTTTGGCCCTTTTTTGCCCCGTGGGCCCATGAGCCATTTGGCCTTGTTCTCGGTTGGAGACGATTTTCAGGCTATTTTCGGCCCTATGGACCATTCGGTTGGAGATGGCCTTAGATAGGAACAGAGTGCGAAGCGCACAAAATAAATTAGTTTATTCACTTGGTGGACTTGTTGTGCAATTGTCAACAAATATCCGCAAATACCGAAGCAATCTGATAAGTGATATAGAGAGAATTTGTCGAGTGTTGTCGATACACCATGTCTAGTGTTGTCGACGTACCATGTCGAGATATGCCTAGCATGCATATGATGCATTACATCAAGCATTTAGTAGGCATAAAAGAGACCCGTACCAAATATTCGAAGGGTCCTCGAAAGACATTCACATGTATATTTTCTAAACTCAGTGGACCTGAGACCACCTTAGCCCTTACTTCCATCCTGCCCTGATGTCATGTCTACAATTACATCGAGGTTGTAGTTTTCGTTACATTATTTGCAATTTAAATAGTACTAAACATTAAACCTAAAACAATTTAGAATTTCTATCATGTGTCACTGGTTATCAAATTTGGTCTATGTCATCTTTTACCTGAATTGAACACCACAAAAGTTATTTCTCTTCGTATAAAACTTGATTGAGAAGTATGCGCGTATGAAAAAATCTTGAGCATGGATTTCTCCATGCATGAGTTTGCTCACCACAAAAAAAAAAAAAAAAAAAAAAAGGCTTAGGTAGGACATGTCCAAGCACTCCACAAAAATAGGCTTAGAGATTATATTTTCAGATTAAATGATGTAATTATTGATGGTTGAATTTTTTATTTTTTCAAATCAAATAATTTGATTATTGATGGTTTAATTTTTTTAATTATCTAAAAATAAAAATTTAATCATCAACTGCCACATCATGTGATCTACAAAATATAGTTTAACTAGATGGTCTGTATAGTATCATCCATAACAATTTGTTAATCATTTTTTACCATAAGACGTGATTGACTTCAGGTAGCACACATCACCGCACAAGTGCATGCATGAATATTACGTGTTAGACCATCTTCAATGGAGATGTCAAATTAAAATGTTAAATTTTATTTTTTTATCTGGTGTGGCAAAATAACTGTTCTAAAGTCTCTTAATACCAATCGAAATGTCAAATATAAAGTTTTTTGACTGTTTAAAAAATCAACCAAGTTAGAAATTAATAATTAATTAATTAATACGCAAAGAAAAATCTAGAAATATGTGGGCCCAACATTAAAATAAAACAAAAGAAATTTTGACATTTCATTCAAAATTGGCAGCAAAATGGAGAATGTCAATCTATGCAAGATTTTGGCATTCGTTTAGAACCAGAACACCTTTTTTTTTTTTTTTTTTTTTTTTTTTTATCAAAACAATCCAGTAAGATTTTCACATCTCCTTTGGAGATGCTCGTATATGCTAATTAAAAAAAGGTCAATAGCCATAGATGCACCTACGTGCATGTTTATATGTGGGTGAAGCTAGAGATACCATCTATTAGAACTATATTTGTAGACCACATAATATTGCGGGTGATTTTTTTGTTTTTTGTTTTGAACAAAATGATATTATCCAAACTAAGGGGGTGGAGAGTAGGTTAATCTTTAAATTGGGCTAGCCATAATAATGTGGTTCAAATTCGCCTTTGGCGAGAACGAACCTAAGACTTCTCACTTTACAAGTAAAGAGGAATATCACTAGACCGTAATACTAGTGAAAAGGAACCTAAGCTGTTTAAACTAAGTGAAGAGAAACCTAAGATGTTTAAACTTCTTTAAATCATTAAACAAAATAAATTTAATCGTCAACCGACACATTACATGCTCTACAAAATAAACTAAAAACATAATTTTTTTTCAGTATTTTCCTTTTACGATTGAGCGTCCCAAAATAGATAGAAACTAGATATTGCGCCCGCACGATGCTGCGGAATTAAAAATGGTAAGAGATTATACTTGAAAAATCTAAAAAATTGAGTCATAGAAGATCAACATTATTTACATCGAAATCATTAGGAAGATTTTTTCATACAAAAGATTTAATCGATACAATCCACATACAAAAAAATCGTAAAACTCTTGGCTATCTACCTAAAAAAATGAAAAAATAGATCTAGACCTTCCTCTAGATTGTGGTTTTTGATCGATAGTAGAACTTACATACAAAAGATTACAAAACGTTGGGTTGTTTACATGCAAAAAATATTAGGAAATGTTGCTAGATTTACCTTGAGAAAATATGACCGAAATTGTTCTGGAGCACCAAAAGTTTCCCTCCACTGCTATTGATTGTCAAGAAA